AAGTAAGGACACAGAGGCACTGAACAACACACTAGGACAGATGGACCTAATTGACATCTATGGAACTCTGCACCCAAAAGCAACAGGATACACATTCTTCTCAAGTGCAAATGGAACATTCTCCAGAATAGACCATATACTAGGCCACAAAAAGAGCCTCAGTAAATTCAAAAAGATTGAAATTCTACCAACCAACTTTTCAGACCACAAAGCTATAAAACTAGAAACAAATTGTACAAAGAAAGCAAAAAGGCTCACAAACACACGCTACGTCACAATTATCAAAATTGGAAAAAGAAGAACAAATGAGGCCTAAAGTCAGCAGAAGGAGGGACATAATAAAGATCAGAGAAGAAATAAACAAAATTGAGAAGAATAAAACAATAGCAAAAATCAACGAAACCAAGAGCTGGTTCTTTGAGAAAATAAACAAAATAGATAAGCCTCTAGCCCAACTTATTAAGAGAAAAAGAGAGTCAACACAAATCAACATAATCAGAAATGAGAATGGAAAAATCACGACAGACTCCACAGAAATACAAAGAATTATTAAAGACTACTATGAAAACCTATATGCCAACAAGCTGGAAAACCTAGAAGAAATGGACAACTTCCTAGAAAAATACAACCTCCCAAGACTGACCAAGGAAGAAACACAAAAGTTAAACAAACCAATTACAAGCAAAGAAATTGAAACAGTAATCAAAAAACTACCCAAGAACAAAACCCCGGGGCCGGACGGATTTACCTCGGAATTTTATCAGACACACAGAGAAGACATAATACCCATTCTCCTTAAAGTGTTCCACAAAATAGAAGAAGAGGGAATACTCCCAAACTCATTCTATGAAGCCAACATCACCCTAATACCAAAACCAGGCAAAGACCCCACCAAAAAAGAAAATTACAGACCAATATCCCTGATGAACGTAGATGCAAAAATACTCAATAAAATATTAGCAAACAGAATTCAACAGTATATCAAAAGGATCATACACCATGACCAAGTGGGGTTCATCCCAGGGATGCAAGGATGGTACAACATTCGAAAATCCATCAACATCATCCACCACATCAACAAAAAGAAAGACAAAAACCACATGATCATCTCCATAGATGCTGAAAAAGCATTTGACAAAATTCAACATCCATTCATGATAAAAACTCTCAGCAAAATGGGAATAGAGGGCAAGTACCTCAACATAATAAAGGCCATATATGATAAACCCACAGCCAGCATTATACTGAACAGCGAGAAGCTGAAAGCATTTCCACTGAGATCGGGAACCAGACAGGGATGCCCACTCTCCCCACTGTTATTTAACATAGTACTGGAGGTCCTAGCCACGGCAATCAGACAAAACAAAGAAATACAAGGAATCCAGATTGGTAAAGAAGAAGTTAAACTGTCACTATTTGCAGATGATATGATACTGTACATAAAAAACCCTAAAGACTCCACTCCAAAACTACTAGAACTGATATCGGAATACAGCAAAGTTGCAGGATACAAAATTAACACACAGAAATCTGTAGCTTTCCTATACACTAACAACGAATCAATAGAAAGAGAAATCAGGAAAACAATTCCATTCACCATTGCATCAAAAAGAATAAAATACCTAGGAATAAACCTAACCAAGGAAGTGAAAGACTTATACTCTGAAAACTACAAGTCACTCTTAAGAGAAATTAAAGGGGACACTAATAAATGGAAACTCATCCCATGCTCATGGCTAGGAAGAATTAATATCGTCAAAATGGCCATCCTGCCCAAAGCAATATACAGATTTGATGCAATCCCTCTCAAATTACCAGCAACATTCTTCAATGAATTGGAACAAATAATTCAAAAATTCATATGGAAACACCAAAGACCCCGAATAGCCAAAGCAATCCTGAAAAAGAAGAATAAAGTAGGGGGGATCTCACTCCCCAACTTCAAGCTCTACTACAAAGCCATAGTAATCAAGACAATTTGGTACTGGCACAAGAACAGAGCCACAGACCAGTGGAACAGATTAGAGACCCCAGAAATTAACCCAAACATATATGGTCAATTAATATTTGATAAAGGAGCCATGGACATACAATGGCAAAATGACAGTCTCTTCAACAGATGGTGCTGGCAAAACTGGACAGCTACATGTAGGAGAATGAAACTGGACCATTGTCTAACCCCATATACAAAGGTAAACTCAAAATGGATCAAAGACCTGAATGTAAGTCATGAAACCATTAAACTCTTGGAAAAAAACATAGGCAAAAACCTCTTAGACATAAACATGAGTGATCTCTTCTTGAACATATCTCCCCGGGCAAGGAAAACAACAGCAAAAATGAGCAAGTGGGACTACATTAAGCTGAAAAGCTTCTGTACAGCGAAAGACACCATCAATAGAACAAAAAGGAACCCTACAGTATGGGAGAATATATTTGAAAATGACAGATCTGATAAAGGCTTGACGTCCAGAATATATAAAGAGCTCACACGCCTCAACAAACAAAAAACAAATAACCCAATTAAAAAATGGGCAGAGGAACTGAACAGACAGTTCTCCAAAAAAGAAATACAGATGGCCAAGAGACACATGAAAAGATGCTCCACATCGCTAATTATCAGAGAAATGCAAATTAAAACTACAATGAGGTATCACCTCACACCAGTAAGGATTGCCACCATCCAAAAGACAAACAACAACAAATGTTGGCGAGGTTGTGGAGAAAGGGGAACCCTCTTACACTGCTGGTGGGAATGTAATTCAGTTCATCTATTGTAGAAAGCAGTATGGAGGTTCCTCAAAAAGCTCAAAATAGAAATACCATTTGACCCAGGAATTCCACTTCTAGGAATTTACCCTAAGAATGCAGCAGTCCAGTTTGAAAAAGATGGGTGCACCCTTATGTTTATCGCAGTGCTGTTTACAATGGCCAAGAAATGGAAGCAACCTAAGTGTCCATCAGTAGATGAATGGATAAAGAAGACGTGGTACATATACACAATGGAATATTACTCAGCCAAGAAAAAAACAGATTCCACCATTTGCAACAACATGGATGGAGCTAGAGGGTATTATACTCAGTGAAATAAGCCAGGCGGAGAAAGACAAGTAGCAAATGATATCACTCATATGTGGAGTATAAGAACAAAGAAAAACTGAAGGAACAAAGCAGCAGAAAACCACAGAACCCAAGAATGGACTAACGGTTACCAAAGGGAAAGGGACCAGGGAGGATGGGTGGGAAGGGGGGGATAAAGCAGGGAAAAAGAAAGGGGGCCTTATGATTAGCATGTATAATGTCAGGGGGGCATAGGGAGGGATGTGCAACACAGAGACGACAAGTAGTGAGTCTACAGCATCTTACTTACACTGAAGGACAGTGACTGTAATGGGGTTTGTGTGTGGGGGACTTGGTGAAGGGGGGAGTCTACTAACCATAAAGTTCTTCATGTAATTATAATATTAATGATAATAAACTGAATTTAAAAAAAGAATCCATTTTCATACATATTCTCAAGGCTTCTATAAAAAAGTAGTAAAATCCTGACATTTTATTTTGGTGTGAAGATTATAATCTCCTTGGTTATACGTTATGCTATTACCCTGGGATATTCTGGAATTGGACCCTAATTAAGAGTCTACAGGTAATGAAGGATGGTGGGTGAATATCTTAAAGAGAATTAGCATGACTTGTAAGACAACTGTCTCAGATAAGTTCATTATGGAGTTTAAACTAAGGGAAAGCCGTCTTCTCAGATAGGGTCCTAAGGATTGCTTCTGTTGGCAAAGAAGGTTAGTGGAGATAGGTGTACAAGGTTTTCAGTTGCCCAAATCCACTGTATTTTCCCATTCTAATTATCATAGTTCTACTCATTCCCAAGTCAATGCCTTAACTGGCACATAAGAGACCTGGAGAAATTGTGAATTTACAATTCACTTTGTAATAATGTAATCCACCAAATCAGATTTTTGTTCTGATATTAAGCTTCATCAGTTTGAAGTAGAAAAGGTTTTCTGGTTGTTTGACTTCTGTTTTTCTGACAAGGTAAAAAAATATGAACTTGTTTGGCCTCATTTCCACCATAAGGGTCAATTGGAGCAGTAATTTGGTATTCTAAATCTTGGTTTTCAATAGACATTTTATTTCAGAAAATGGCTGTTGGCAATTTTAAGCATCTATTTTATTACATACCGTGAATGATCAGATTCCCCATTTGCCATTGGCTTTATGGCATCAGTACATTCAAACTCTATGAGATCATACATCCAATTCCATACTTTCACCTTTGAGGGCCTGTTTCCTAGAACCACTCCTGATGTAAAATGTAGCAGTTAGTGTACAAAGAAGAAATAAAAAACTGCTCTAGATATTTTGACCTAGAGGAATTTAATACAGGAAATGTGATGAAATTGTTGGCATGCTGGAAGAACAAAAAGAAAAAGGGAAGGCAGGTGATATGAAGCCTCTCCTCTCCCTAAAGAGAGACACTATTTTGATACTTGTGTGACATTAAGTTTCAAGAACAGCTTTTACAGAGGCTACAAACATCAGCTAATGCCACCATGGGGATCTGTTTCTACTGCAGTGTCAGTTGCTGCTGCTGCTACCAGATCCAGAAGACAATTTCTTCTTTATTTCTTTTTCTTCTAATCTCTCATGTATGATTTTTACATTGGCAGAAGCTAAAATGGAATCTTTCTGGCAAAGGAGCCTGGGATATAAGGTTTCTAGGCTTTCAGTCCCTTTGATGGGGGGAGAATTTAAAAGGATCAAGATGGTGCTGAGAACTAACACAAAATATCTAACACATTTTGACTTTGCAAAGTGGGAAAGTACAAGAGTACTTGTGGAAGGAAAGGAGAGAAAGGAGATTAGTTTTATGAACTAATATATAGGAATTGAGGCTCTGGATAGACTAAAACTACGTATGTTATGAATACCTTAGAAGTTTTTTCAGATGGTTTTGTACCACAGTTTGAAGACCAATGATCTAGACACTAATATTGCCAGGGAACACACCACCCACTAGCCAGTTTCCTCAAGGCTCCCTTAACATCTTTGTTTCTCAGGCTGTATATGATGGGATTCAACATGGGGGTCATGACACAGAAGAGCACAGAGACCAGGATGTCCATGTCCAGGGAGTAGCCTCCCCTGGGTCTGTCATAGTTGAGGTTGACTGTTCCAAAAAAGACCACCACCACAGTGAGGTGGGATGCACAGGTAGAGAAGGCTTTGTTCCTGCCCTGAGCAGAGGGGATCCTAAGGATGGCAGAGATGATAAGTATGTAGGATACTGCAGTAAATAGGCAGGGGCTCAGGCCAATGGTGGCACTGGCCACATGGAGCACAGACTCATTGAGAGAGGTGTCTGAGCAGGAGAGCTCCAGGAGCAATGGGATGTCACAGAGAAAGTGGCTAATCTGGTTGGGCCCACAAAGACTGAGTGCAGTTGCCAGCACTGTGTGTGTCACAGAATTCACCAGCCCGCACAGCCAGTCACCAAAAAAACGCAGACATTCACACTCATGAGGACTGGGTATTGAAGAGGGTGGCAAATGGCTACATAGCGGTCATAAGCCATAACAGCCAATAGGACACCCTCAGTGCCAGCACATGTCACGAGGAAAAAGATCTGGGAAAGGCAGCCTTCATATGAAATGGTCTTCTTCTTCCAGAAGAAGTTTATTAGCATGGCTGGAATGGTGGTAGATGTGTAGCAGATGTCCAAGAAACTCAGGTTGCTGAGGAAATAATACATTGGAGTGTGGAGAGCTGGACTAATCTTGGTGGCTGTTATTATAAGCATGTTGCCTAGGAGAGTTGTCAGATAAATGACTAGGAAGACCAGGAAGAACAAGCCCTGTAGGTTGGGGTGATTGGAAAATCCCAAGAAGATGAATTCAGTGACATCTGTTTCATTGTTCATTTCAAATGGTGTTATAGCTATAAAACAATGAGAAAAAGGCCATAATGAGAATATACAAAGATCACCTCAAATTGACATCTAACTTTGTATGGTCACGTCAAATAATGTTGAATACTGGTTGAATCTGGTATGTGGAGGGAGGTGTGCGGCAGTGTCTGCCTGTTTACTGCAATGTCCTACACACTCATCATCTTCTTTAGTCTGTTAATGTAGTAATTTATATTGATTATTTAATTGTTGAACTTGCCTTGCATTCCTGAGATCAACCCCAATTGATTTTGATGTAGTATCCTTTTTATATATTGCTTGATTCAATTTTCTAATACTTTGTTGAGGATTTTTTGCATTTTTGTTCATGAGGGATGCTGTTGGTCTGTAGTTTTCTTTTACTGCAATATTTTTGTTTAGTTATGTTACCAATTTTCAGGTAATGTTGGCCTTACAAAATGTGTTGGGAACTTTCTCTTCTTTTAAGTTTTCTAGGGGAGAATATGTATAATTGGTACTATTTCTTCCTTAAATGCCTGGTCAGATTCAACAGTGAAACTATATGGACCTGTATTTTTATTTTTTACAATGTTTAAAGCTACAATTTTAATATCTTTAACATACATAGAACTATTCAGGTTGTTTATTATTGAGTGAATTTGGGAGGACCTTTCAAGAAAGTGGTATATTTCATCTTGTTGAATTTATGAGCATAAAGTTGTTCGTAGTATTCTATAATTATTCTTTTAATATGGAGTCAATATTGATGTATCCTCTTCTATCCTTGATATTGATAATTTGTTCCTTCTTTGTTTTTTCCTTGGTCAGTCTGGCTAGAGGTTTATCAATTTGTTGTTTTCAAAGAACAAACTTTCAGTTTCACTGATTTTCTCTATTTTCAATTTCATTAATTTTTTCTGTAATCTGCTTTTTCCTTGTTTTTGTCTGCTTTGAGTTTAATGTACTTTTTCTACTTTCTTAATGTGACCACTTACAATTTTAGGTATAAGCTTTTCTAATATAAATATTAAGTGGTAAAAATTTACCTCTACACGCTATTCAGTTGTATCCCTCAAATTTTGATGTACTGTCTTTATTTTTGTTCAGTTTGAAATATTTTTTCATTTCCTTTAAGACTTTGTTTTTTCCCCATGAGTTATTTAAAGGTATATTGATTAATATCCAAATATTTATAGGTTTTTCAGATATCTTTTTGCTATTCTTATTTCATTATGGTCAAAGAGTATGCCTTGCATGATATTTTTTATTTTAAATTTGTTGTTTTTTTATAGTTCAGAATATGACCTATCTTAGTGAATGTTCTATGTGTACTTGAGTAGAGTATAAATGCTGAACTTATGGGATGGAGTATTTTATAAAAGTTAATTAAATTAAGTTAGTTGATAGTTGTTCAGGTCATCTATATTTTATCTACTTGTTTTCTCAATTTATGAGAGAAGAGTGTTGAGGTCTCCAGCTATAATTGTGAATTTATCTATTTCTCTTCTCAGATCACTTTTGTGCCTCATGTAGTCTGAAGATCTTTTTCAGTCATATATACACTAAGGATTGTTATGTCTTCTTGGAGATGTGGCTTCTTCACCATTAATATTTCTTTTTATTCCTAATAATTTTTTTCTTCTGAAGTCTATTTTGCCTGAAATTAATATAGCTACCACTTATTTATTTAGTTAGTGTTTGCATAGTACATCTTTATCCTTTTACTTTTAACTTTGTATTTAAAGTGGGTTTCTTTTAGAATAGTTGGGTATTGATTTTTAAAAACCCAATCTGACAATCTCTGTCTTTTCATTGTTATGTTTAGACCACTCACATTTAAAGTGATTATTGATATGCTTGGATGAAATTTTACCATCTCCTTAGCTGTTTTCTATTTGTTTAATTTATTCTTTGTTTCTTATTCTTTTTTGTCTTTCTATGCTCAATTGCACATTTATTATGGTTCCATTAAATCTTCTTTATTTACTTATTATTACCTCTTTGTAAAATTTTCTGGTTATTGCACAAGAAATTAAAAAATACATTGTAAATAATCTGCCTTCATTTAATAAACCACTTCAATGCAGTTATAAGACCTTATATCTCCAATTTCTCCAGTGCTTCCTTTTTGCTATTGTTGTCACATATTTTACTTTTACATATGTGATGAACATGCACTACATTGTTACAAAATTTTGTGCATTAAAAATAAAAATGAATTTAGTTTACTGTATTAGTGTCCTATGGCTACCATAACAAATTACCACAAACCTGGTGACTTGAAACAAGAAATTTATTCACTCACAGTTTTGGAGGCTTCAAAGTTTGAAATCAAGATGTCAGCAGTGCCATGCTCCCTCTGAAGGCTCTAGGGGAGAAGCCTTTTTTTGGCCCTTCTTAGTTTCTGGTTCTCCTCGAAATCCTTGGTGCTCCTTGGCTTGTAGCTGCACCACTCCAATCTTTGCTTCTCATTCCATGGCCTTTTTCACTATGTGTGTCTTTGTATGTCCCTTGCTTTTCTTGTAAGGACAACAGTCCTAGGAATCAGGGCTCACCTTAATCTAGTATGACCTCATCTTAAATAATTACATCTTCAAAGACCTTTTTTTTTTTTTTT